CTACTACATTACATATATTTCCCTATCGATGTTGTAGACGGTTTGTTGCTAATATATACGACATGCCACTCTCAATTTCAGAAAGTAACTTCGAAACGTTGCTTCACTGGAGTCATACCTTCAACGTTACTTCTATTCTTCATGTGTGCAAAAAGAGGATGGATTCTGAGTTGGAGAGTAGCTTAATGGGTTGTGATAGAAGGGTTGAGCTTTTCCTTCTTTCATGGAGTTATGACCTCGAAACATCACAAGTGCGTACGCCTTATGTTTCTTCGTACAACTTTAAAGTGTTTCCAGGTGGATTATTTTCAGCGAGTTTTTCGATCAACCATATCCAAGCCCAAGAAAAATGACCCAAATTCGAATTCATTTCAACTTGAAAAGATGATACTCCAGAACCAATTATATCAAACGATGCATAAAAAAAACAAACTACTGTTGTTAGAGCAGATTCTTGCAATGGGATCATCAGAACTTGAGTTCTAACATTCATCTATTTGACTATTCTGAGTCCACAACAGCATTACCACTTGCTATTGTATTTTTGCTAAATAGTTATCTGTATATGTGTATGTATTTAAATTTGAGTAAATTGCTTCAATACCATCCAAGACATACCGTTTTGGGAATTACTTTCAAAAGATAGAAAAATTAAAAATTGCTCATTTAGTTCTGTGACGACTATATACGAGAAGTTGGAAATCAAATCTTGTACAGTAGAACTTATATACTCAAGAACCTTGTCCGGCTATCTTATTCGAACCCAAACGAAGCAGCATCACTTCTATGGAAACTTCATAGTGGAAGCAGTTGAAAATGTGAAATTCTCCATTGGACCAGCGCTCTTCACTACTACTTCTTCAACGATGATTCATTTCATTTTGATCAGTCTGTCAGTGCCAAGCGGTTGTGGGCTGTTTCCTAGGGCTGTGGAGTGAAGAGAAGATGCAGGACGACTTTCAGACAGATTCAGAGTTTAATTCGAAAAAAAGAAGATTAACGGTTGTTATTATGTTGTATTGTATTAATAAAAACAAAATCTCTTTAATAATTTTTACTACGTTTTTACTTTGGAAACTAGAATCTTACAAATCATCTCCGTTGATCTCTTCTGGCTTCAATCCCAAGCTGGCAAGAGCACCCTTAGACAATGAGCGGGCCTGAAGAAAACATTAATTCAATGGGATAAGCGAACTACTCCACCTTCTCGTCAGCAGAGTTTCTTGGAAGAGTTTGAACTGATTGTTTGAAAGACTTGATGGCATCATCTTTCTTTCCAGAAGCCTTAAGTGCAAGACCGCTGTAGTAGTGGTTGTTAGCAGAGAAGTCACGCTGGAAAATCAAGGTTCACATTTTAAAGTTTTCTGTGATAACTTACTCTGATTTCTTCAGCCTTGGCAAAGTTCTCCAGAGCTTTCTTATGATCCTTGTTGTTATATTGGGCAACTCCTAATGGTGAAAAGCATGAAAAAATAAAAAACCAAAACTGTTCTACCAAGAAGATGGAATGCATAAGGATCAGTGTTGTCGAGGGAGACAGATTTCTCGAGATGTTTAATAATATCTTCTCCATGATTAGATTTTTCAACAGCGTCAAGACGAGAAAGAAGAATGGCGAACCATTTGTGTACACCAGCGGACCCCTTAGCGGGCTCAACAGCCAAAGCTTTCTTCACATGCTCCTTAGCCTATATAAATCAAATTATATTTTTTTAGAATCAGTTCTACCTCATGAAGCAAATGAGCCTTCTCTTTGGGATCTTTAGTGAGATCAGCCTTTTCGATCAGAATACGGGCAAATCTCCATTGGATTTCAGTGTTGTGCTCGTCAGATATCCTTTTTAAGAAACAAATAGTACAAAACAATCATAATAGATCAGATACTTGGAAAGAGCTTCTTCAGCTTCTTGTAATACAGAGGGGGACTCGATGAAACCTTTCTTGCTAGTAGCCTTCAAAGCATCTTCAAGGCTCTTGACGGCAATTTGGTACCTATTAATGGAATCATAGACTTAGAAAACTCTTACAGTAAATACCAGTCAGGCTTTTTGGAAAGTTCCTTATCGGTAAGAGCGACAGCAGCTGCAGCTCCAATTTGGACTCCAGCAGCACCAGTTGCAATACGGCCAAGAACAGTGGCTGCCCGACGGAACATTCCTACAAAGGTAGGTTGAAAGAGCAGGCAATTTCAAGAGAAGACATTTGGAATGTAGTCTATTAGTGTTTCGATCTCATTCTGACTTATGTAGAATAACAACACTTATGAAAAACACATTAAAAAAAAGAAAATTATTCAGTTATAATTCCAGACCGTACCGCCCATTAATTAAAGGGCGGCCAGTGAAGTTAACCTCTCCGCTCTTTTGCGTATACTATCCGTTTAGGACCACAAAGTTTTTATCAAAATTTTGCAAACGAAGCTACTCTAGTTGATATGATCCAGGAGTGTGACTTTCTCCTTATTATCCATGTTTTATAATGTTTCAACATTTTATTGAGTATGTGTTTTATGGAAAAACCTGGTTGGGTTAGTATCGGTAAGGCAAATAATGATGAAGAAACACATTTTATTATTCATTTTCTCCAAAATCGGAGAACGATGAATCAATTATTTATTTTTCCTTTATCGATGCATACAGTTGGAAACAGTGACACCAATTATAAAATTGAATCAATTTAAACTCTAAGAGACTCTTGCTATGTTCATTCGTCGATGATTGTTGATTGAGACCCAGTCACACTCGAAATCGTTGAACAGAACTTGGAAGCTTCAACATGATGATTATTTAACAGAGATATTTGACTATTATAACTAATGCAAGAAATACACAATCAGATACAGTCAAAATGCTCGAACAGTAGATACCACATCATTAACCTCTACTGGTTAATCTTTCAGTATCTTACTACTTGATCAAAATATAACTGATTCCAAAAAGAGCGTGTTCAACATAAAAATTCCAAAACGAAACAACCCGTGATGAATATAACAGTGCCTTCTGATGGCTTTGTAGAAACCATTAATGGTTTAAAACAACTTGGTTGTTCCCTGTATGTACTGCACTCTCCTCGAAAATAACCGCTTTTCCTGATGACGTTTCTTTCAAAATAGAGGTGTGGTGTACGTGATAAACCGTGAAATCTATTGCTAACGGGTAATACATGGAATATTCCATCCAAATAATAATATTTTGACTCACATTTGCTTCACTACAACTATTCTCATTTCAGGCTGATTAACTGGTATCCCATAAGAGATGAATAGCATAGACGATATTGCGCCTCGTTTAACGGGTAGTAAAGAAGGGTCTGTTTTGTCGTTCACACTCTTCTTGAACTTATCTTTCAGAACATTCCGGTATGAGACTATCCGCACCCGTTGGCCAACTATTTTAACTCGGGTAATTGACCACTTTTCAACTGGCATCGAGAAGTTCACTACACGATACGGAGAGGTTGAATTGATCTTCCGATTTCGTTAATCTCCTTTTTCTAGGATGCCGAGAAATCGGTGAAGCAGATTCTATCTGCTTTGAGCGAAATTCATTACTTGATGGTAACAGATAAGCCTTTGAGGTTATTGACGGATAACTTTGAAGATGTCAATGTTTGGAATGAGCACTTGTCCAGCTTGAGATTAAATGTATCTTTCACCTTCATGATTTAACAAGTGGAGTTTTTAAGAAAGAGTTGGTGAATAGCACGTGGTACAAAGAACCTTGGCTGTTCGTAGAATGCTACTTGTATCGCCTGATCTTCAGCTTTGTGTTCCAAAGTCAAGTAATGGAAGCTCATGACTACTTTTTCCATCAAAAAATTGCCTCATTTCATACTCAGTTAGGTTTTCCGTTGTATACTCTCTATATTTCTTACATACAGTACGGATCAGATAATATTAGGTGTGGAAGATCTTAATAAGTTCGTAGCGCTTGGTCAGAATGAACAATCCATAACTTCATCCTTAACTTCTCTTTTAAAAGTACCTACTCTCTCTTTTCCATTCATAAGAGTTTCTTAGATTTGTTTGTGGGGAAATCGTGCAGACTTGTCGTTATCCGGTGGAATAGCTTCATTATTTGTATGTTTGAGTCTAAGTCATCCAAGTATACTGATACTACGTTTAGAATGAGTCTTCGAAGGACTTGGATGCTCGAGACAAATACATACTTATCAATCATATCCCAGATGCCATCAATTATTTAAAGAGTATCAAGTAGTTCATATTTTCATTCTGTATTACAAAGTACTTTAAAGGCCAAAAGTCGGAGATGCTCTTTCAAGAATTGATATTATTCTTGATAACTCTGGCGTCGAATTGGCTGGTGACTTGACACTAGCTGACTATCTAGTAACCGCGGGTTTGGTTGATAAAGTTGTTTTCCATGGGAAGGTATATCATATTTCGATAGCTTTTTATCATTCAATTTGTTAAGAAAATTCCTTGGTTTGTTTCTGACACAACACCAGACGATTTTCAATGGACCATAAAAGCCATAGCAGAGTTAAAGGGAAGTGATGGGGCTGTTCGAGAGGATTGTCAGAGATTCTCTAGATCAATAACTGAACGACTTGAACAGGTGAGAGCTACATCCAGTATAGTAAAATTAGTTTTCCCCAGGGTATTTACGAGTTTAAATGTGAAGGATTCTGGACTCTGCCTTTTCCTTATACAGAAATGGCTACTAGAGCCCCTGAGCTTTATGCCGTAAGATTTGTCGATCTCTTTGTTTCTTCACTTTGTTCCGCTTAGGATCTATCTGAGTCGTCTCTTGTGATACTGAAAGGTGATTTGAATTATCGAAAACTTGTAGAGGATCGTGATTGGACTTATGAAACTCCAATGATGGTAAGTCGCTATATTGAGAATGTTAATTGGACCTATTGTTAGAATGCTGTTGGAAATTTTCTAATTTCACCTTTATTGGTTCTGAGAACCTTGAAATCGGAAACTGTCGTCGGTCTCGACAGAACTGTTGTTGACCATGTTTTGTCTCGTTATGGTGATGACTATCAATGGATGACTACTGGTACATATGCTGTAGCTCACTTCCATGTTTCAAAATAATTCCTTCGATTCTCCTATAACGTTACAATTACTAGCTTGCCATAAGGCTCATTGATACTACTCTACAGCTATTATATTATCGAACCTAAACGAGGTGAATTTGTTTCTTAGTTCCACTAGATTTGTTATATGCTCCTATTTCTTCCTTAATTTTCCATTATATCTGGGAAATATTGGACCAGATCTGTACTTGCAGCTGAGCGGGGTGATTTCCTTAAATGAGTTATTAAAACTGCTAACGAACTCTCACAATATTTCAAAACTAGTAGTTGTGCCTTAGATCCTTTAATAAAAAAAGTTTAGAATATGTATACAATTATATTCAACTGAGATGATAAAATATGTTGTTGCTATACGTTGGTCAGCCCTTTCTGTTACCCTCTGATCTTGTTGCAGAATTTTCTGTTTCTTATGTTCCGTTCTGATTCAGAACCCCTTTGCTTGTATGCTTGCATAACATCAGGGGAGTGTTCCCTATAACTTTCCTAATTCCCGGATTATGGCTACATTTCCCAATAGCATTGATTACGCAAGTTTTCTACGCATAGGAAGCTTCACTGTTCAGCATTTCAAATATTTTCTTAAGTTTTATTTGGGAGCATTTGTTACTTTTTATTTCACTTTAATGTTATCTTGTTAATTTTTCAAATAAGAAAGGAATTTTAGTAAAACCTTTTACATCCGTAGTAATCTTAGAATCATGAACGTTAATTAGAATAAACGTCAATTGATGTTTCACGTAAGCAGTTTGCTCTTTTTATTTTCATTAATGACATTGACTCAGAACGGTTGGTTCCCCGAGAACAGTTAGCAGCGACCAAAATCCCTAAAAGCTCCCGCTGTAAGTTCTTTGTAGGAAATTCTGTAATTCTCACGGTGCCTTTTGAACTTCATCTATCAAGTTGCCGGAAAAATCGCCTGAGGCGTAGTTTCCAGAAATCGAGGTTTGCTTTGAAGTGCACTAAAAAAAAACTTTTTCATAGTCTCAGGCTAACGGAACTATCAAAAACAAAGTACAATTCTAATTCTCAACTGTTTTATTTATATAAAAAAGATTAATTATTAATATTTAGTCTTCAAGCTTTATAATTGTCATTTTTGCAAAGTAAAGGCACATGGGATAGAAAAAAAATGTTTGACAAAAGGGCGATCTCAAAATAATTTCAGATAAGAATGAAAAGTTAAAAGCTTCTCAATCAGATCATATGGTTTGCTTACTGTGTAAGACCGACAGTCCTACCAAGTGGAGCTCGAACGTTCCGTTCGTTTACGAAGAGGAAAATATAAGAAAAAAAGAAACAATTAAACACCCAAGATGATGACTACTACCGGATGCCTTAATGGCTTAAGGTCTAGGACAGAAACATTAAGTGGAAGATTACAGATTGAAAATGAACAAAAAGGACAGGGAGATGTTAGGGATGAGTCCTGAAAGGCGGCGAGAAAATTTTACAGTAACCGATTAGTAAAGCTTTAACTTGGACTAAACCCATCAGATTTTTGACAGATTCAGTGGGGCAGTACGGATCATAAAAATGAAAGATGTTATATACAATTAATAGATGTTTTTAACTCTTTCTAAATTCCATTTTTACAGACGAACTTGCATCTTTCGACTTCTAAACACCAACCATTTTCGATCGTTCTACAGAATGTAAGTTCAACTTAGCTCGTAAAGACAAAATTTCCAAAATGATTATATAGATTCCAAGATAGAGCTAAATAAATCAAAAATTGGAGGATGGTTAGGAAATCGAAGAAAAATACGAAAATCTACACCTTACCATAAACACAATAAATAGAGTGAGGGGAGACAGGGGAGAAAACAACTGTTCAGATGCGAAAATTTGACAAAATTCTATTAACTTAACTAAATCCAAGTATATTGTTGGATAAAATGGCATATTAAGGTTTTATACGCCTATCACATTTGAACTGCTAAGGCAATTTTCTCAGAACTTTAGAAGTTCAATCTGTACTGCTTCCTTGAGCGGACATGGCAGCAGATTCCATCAGCTGTAACAAGCATGAGATTAGGTAATGGGTGATAGAAAAATGAAATTACCTGTTGAAGGTTCAGCTGGAAAGGAAAGGTGAACAAAGGATTTGGCGTTGCTGCTTCATCGGCACTCTTCGCTCCGTTCATCAGAAGACTGTTCGCGTTAGCTCCACCTGAATATAAGCAGTTAGAAACTGTTCGACGAACCAACAAGTGAAAATGAAACTTTTCGGGCACTCATGCACGAAGGAAAATAATGTTCAAGCGGTGAAACATGCATATGGAGTGACAAAAAGCATCATATTAGCTATCTCACAGTTTTGGAGATGGATGGTTTATGGAAAACGGTGAGATAGTTAGTGAAGTGTGCAAACCTTCAGAAGTGTTACTGTCTGTTGGGGATTGTGGTGGTGCATTCTGTAGCTGTTGTGACAGCGATAAAAGAGAAGAAGGGGTGATAGAAGTAGAAGAGGACGAAGTAGAAGTAGTAGAAGTTGATCCTGCTGCATTCGACATTCCTAGAACTGAACAAACCAGGTATCCAATAGAAATGTTGAAATGAATTTTTAAAAACCTTTTCCAAGTGCCGGAGCAAAATTTTTGATTCTAGGGTGAATTGAGGGATAGGCATGCAAAAACGGGTTGTAATTGGGTACACAGACAGGGTTGTAATTGCATAGTTGCTGTGGTGCGAAAGGTAACCAGTGAGGCCTCTTACCCGAAAGTAAAAACGGTGCCAAGAACGAGTTGTGAGCTGGAGGTGTGATCAAAGGCTTCATAGGATGCTGCTGTTGCTGTTGATGTTGTGGAGAAGATTCTGAAGGAGGTGAGGAAGATAGTTTGGCCTTCTTTTGTTGCTGATGACGATTATTAGCTGCTGCTCTAAGAGCTTCTTTTATCGTCTGGTGGAGTGAGGCAGCCAAGTTATTGCCATTCGCTGAAAAAAATTGAATATAGAACGAAAAGCTTAGTCCCCCAGGTCAAGCAATGGATTTTGCCTCTTCTGCACTTTCTCTTTAATCTCACTCTCGACTGTATTAGAGCAGTTGAAGGAAATGACTATTGAATCTTGTCTGCAGCTGTAAGTCCGACCGAAAATAGACAAACAGAGAGGAGAAGCCTCTTCTTGCCTCTTTTGCCTGTATGTCTTGAGAAGACACACATTCATATATACACAATATACAGGCTCTCTAGTCCTTCCGTTTTCCTAACATTTCATTCATCCTCACTCTTTCTCTTACTATTTCTCCCTCCTTTATTTCTCTCATTATCAGCTTCTGATCATTGTCTTTCCTTCTGTTGAATGTTCAACGCGAGAACAGGAAGTACGCCCGGAAAGGAAAACATCCAGATCCGGTAGTTGATCAAAAGCAAAAAGCTAGATGTCTCTCTCTGCTACTTCTACCAAAATCAAAACAAAAACGAAATTGAAAACGTACTCAAGTCTTTTGCTTCTTCAGGTTCTTCTTTGACTTCACAATGCTCTTCACTGTCGGTATCATCTCCACTATCGGCCTGAACGAAGGAAATTAAAACTTCAGAAACTTGATGTTAAACTTTACATTATATTCCTCTTCATTGTAATGTGTGAACAATGTTGAAGGTACCATTGTTGGTAAGAAGCTGGCGATTGAAGCCTGAAAATATAAGGATTGGGTAAACTTCCATACTATTGTTGAGAATACAAAACTTTTCTCTTTCTTCCTTTTTTTCCCTTCCTTTCAATAATCCCCCTCGCCTTATCTAAATATGCCATGTAGAAGCCAAGAGACAATTGGCAAGAGCTTCTGAGGAAGCTTCCTCACCCTCCCGGACCGGTTCTCTATTGCGTTCTTACCGATTGCTCTCTACGGAGAAGCACATCTTCCGATTTGGCTTTTGAAGAGAAAATAATTAGAAGAACAAAAAGCAAATGTTACAAGTCAGTCCCCAGTTTGTCCACACATAAAGTAAAGTGAGGACAGAATGTTTCCATTCTGAACTTCAAGCCAACAAGTCGTCAGCAGTTAGAAACAGTTGTCAAACAGAATTCAAAACGTGCTCTTGACACTATTTTGTTGAAGTATTTCTTACTTATTTCTTTGTTCGTTAGATTACCTATATCATAGTGACATGAGCCTCCAGCAACTTTTGCTGTTTCCTATACTCTGTTTGTATCAAAGAGTTGTTGAAACATGGGGGAAGATTGAGGAGAAAAAATAAAGGATAAACATGAACGTTGACACTGCCCACGTGATTCTCCTCTGCAGTATCAATGAAGTCATCCATGAAAAGATTTCGCCTCAATAAAGTCCCGCATTCGTTTTCTTTCAATCTCAAACATGAAATTGGAAGAAGCGACTCTCTGACGGGAGAGAGATGAGAAAGCTCCCAAAACAGCTTTACACCAACAGATGAGCACCCATTTTAGTGTAAGCCAGGGGAGCTGAATCGACAGAAAAGTTATTTGGGTCTCTCGTCAAGCAACTCAATGTTCTTATTCGTTGTGATATTAGAAGAGAAAGAGATAGCTTCGTCAAAGCAAATCCGCTATAAGGACGAATTACTTCAAACGAATCGTGGAATCGTATCTTCAGCATTACTTTCATCAGATTCATCAACCAAAAGCTATAAGTTTTTTTTTCGATCGCTATCATTCCACCAATCAATTCCAATTGGAGGGGAAGCAAAAACAAATCATTGACACTATCAGTCAACTTTTCGGAAACCTTGAGAGAAACAATGACAGCCATGAACATTATTTTGGTTCAAATAGTTCGTTCTGACGAAATTTTGAATTCAAGCGTATTGAACATTCAATTCCTACTAAATGATCACTTAGAACAGATGTTGTCTCATGTGAGCCTGAAGTTGACGATCAGGTTTAGGTGACGTCCCTCCATATGCTTTCGGAATAGAAAATTAAGGTAGTAAATAGACAGGAAAAGTTAGGAATGCTTCTCCATTAGCTCATTTCTTCTTTTATCTTCTTTATCGTTTCCCTTTCCCTGGGCTATATCGTGAGCAGCCGGGCAACAATCTTCTCTCAGCATTACACTGTGCCTTTTTCGGGAGAGTTAGAAGATGAAGGAGCAAAAGAAGAAGAAGGAGAGACTGAAGAAGACGATGAATCGCCGGAACCATCTATACAAATGAATTTAAACATTTGTGTCACAAACAGATGCGAAAACACATGGTTGTAGTAAGAAAGGGTAGACATTCCATTTCCGATTGATGATGCATCAGTTCCTTGTAAGTGAACACCCTCCCACGTTCTCTGTTTCTCTTGTTACTCAACATTATGTTGAAAGAACGTTAAGTTTCAGTGTTCGTAAAAGTTCGCTCCCTAGTGTTGAGCAACTGAGGGAAGGCATGACTACGTGAACGAGATCGTCATCTTATATTTCTTCCTTCCTCCAAACTACAGCTCTACTTCCCCAAAATAATAACTTTGATAAAAACAAGGCAACGACGGCACATGTGATGTTTTCTCTCCTGGCCTCAACCATGCGAACAATTTCCGAAAACTTGGCGCTTCTCCCCAGCACTTGTGGCGCCTGTTCGGGCATCATCCGTGTGCAAAACAGATTAGGCTTGAGCTAAACGATCATAAGATTGAGAGTTTTCAAGAGATAACAGACACCCAAGACAACTATTCAGGAAACCAACTGTCTCGTCCTTTACGGCAAACATCGAGTTCCGAGATAGCATAGCTCTCGTCACAATTTACCTTCTTTCTTCGTTTAATCACTCATTGAGACAAGTTTGAATCTATTCTACTACAATTACTTCAGCAGCCAATTTTCGAAACTCGAGTAAAAACAGCTGAAGTTTTTTCTTAGGAAAAGGCGGTATAGTCGTTTAGCTTCGAAATAGTACAAAGAAGTGCTTAAACGGAAGTTGATTGCACCCTTTTCGGCTCAATTTACCACATGTGGTAGCTCTAAGAACGAAATTGGCTTCAACATCTGGTAAAATTATAGAAAACTTCTTCTCTTCCCGGATACACATACAGACTACAAACTTTAGAATATAAGAAAGAGAAAAAGCCCATAAAGCAGCCATAGCCAAATGGGCTTATATCATACTTTAAAATCGCCTACACTTTCACATTAAAAGTATTGATCGATTAAGAAATTTTGACAAACAGGATCATCACAAATGGCAATTACATCCAACAGATGCTCCGATGGAGCACACTTTTTATGGTTAAGGAAAGATGTGAACTTCGCCCATATAACATATCGCTTTTCTCAGCCCATATTAATGGCATTATACGGGAGAAAGGAACAGAAAGACAAATCTCATCATTCGTCTCTTCAATCGTTTGTCCAAATTCAGACCAAATAATTTTTTCATCACGTACTTCACGACGCCAGCTGTTCTGCCACATACGGTAGCTTTCAGAATGAACCGCCCCCATAGCGCCGCGAATGGAACAAGGCAGAAGGCGTGGCTAGAAGTCTCATGTACAAATAAGGAATACGGTAGCCCAACCACAGAAACCAAAAGGAAATCGTAAGGAATTATGAAAAAACCTTTCGAGGACCTCCCAAATTTAAGTTGCAAAAGGGCAAACTCACGGCAGTAGGATCTTGGACTTCATTAATTTTGCGTTTTCGTGAATTGTTAGGTGTAGATCCAGTTTCGAAAGTAAATTCGGTTCTTGATGGTTGTAAGTCGGATTCTTCTGAAAAGAAAAAAACTTTTAACAATCTTTCTTCTGCTGTACACATAGTTAATAATTGTTATCTATTCTGTTCGAAAAAACTCTTCTGCTGTCAACTACAACTCAAATCAATAATGATCGGAAGCGGAAGATAGAATTTAAGAATCCAAAAAAGCGGTTTTCTTCCTCGGAAGCAAAGACAAACATTATACTTCCATCTTCTCATTTCTCTCCTTCATCATTTTTTCCCTTTTCTTATCCGATAACGAAAGAACAAAAAAAGAGCAGCAGCCAACTTTGAAGATAGAAACTTAAGGAACATACCTCCGGGTGCATTTAAACATGATTGAATAAGAGCCTTTCCGGCATCAGATGAGATCATTGGTTGCAATTTTTTTGTGGCAAAGGTATAGACATGACCTGTTTCAGACGCGACTAGAAGCATGACCTGAGTTCCTGTTAATGTTGAAAGCTCATAAGCCTGAAGAAAACAAATTGGAACGACAAAGCTTTCTGAATAAGTACCTTTTTCATAATACCCGTTTTTCTTTTACTGAATGTTGTATATCTGCGTAACTTGTTGCCGATATATTCCATTTTGATTTTAACACGTCCTATAGTTTGATTAAGAGTCAACGAAACAAATTTGTAATGTTTACCTTTAGTTTTCTTTCCATTCGGAAGTAGTCTCAGACTGGAAGGAGTATCGGCAAGAGAATGCCCCGAATCTCCATGTAATTGCTGCATAAGCTGAGCAAGATCAATGTTAGGAGTAGTCTCTGACATTCTGCAACAACAAAAATTAGCAAAAACGTAATGAAAATGATAACTTGTGATATACAACCGTATTTTTCAAAAAAGAAATGTAAAATGATAAAAACAACAAAGAAATAAGAAAAAGGAAAGCGAAACGTAATATTCTAATTATGCAAATGACTATTGACAAATCTCGTACACCAATTCGCAAAAATTACGTATTCCCTTATTGGGCTACAGTAATTTCATGAAGCTATGATTGGAGGAGAACATGTATAGTTACTTAAGAGGCTGACAAAATCAGAGTATGAATTGGAGAGGAGAAGCTGAAGAGTATCCGAGAAAGAACGAAAGGGAAAAAGAGGGTTGGACAAGTCGGCTGCCAGCAGTCATCACCACCGTCAGCGGTGCTTCTCCGGCACCAACAGCTAGCTAGCAGCAGCAAGCAGCTCTATATGACAAACAAAGACGGAAAGACATGTGCCATAAGAGGGATACGGTAGGATGAGAACGAGTCGTCATCAAGGGAAAACTCAAGAAGAAGCAAAGTTTGGCAGAAAGAGAGAAATAGAGTAAAGACATTTGATAGAAAGCCCAAAATAGAGAGGTACAGGTATGCGTGCGAACAAATCTGGGAGGTAAATAATACAAATAAAAATATAACAAAATAAGAGAGAATTGTGAAATAGACGAAAACAGTTAGGGAAATTTCGAAAGAAAGCAACCGATTCTCATCAAAGCCATAAATGAAATGAAAACAATTCAGTTTCAAACTGTAGATCCTAATTAGAATATTTGTAGAAAATGAAAAATGCGGGCAAATCTCGACCACCCACGAAGTCAAATATGAAGAAAGAAAATTAGAAAATTGAAAGCTCATTGAAATTAAATAAACATCGGAAATTCATAAAAGCTTCCCTCATTTGTGATATTTGTACTTTCGAACAATAATTGTACTGTAGGTCGTGGAAAAAACCGAAATCCCTTTTTGTCCGGCTTATAAACAACCAACAGTCGGCCGATTTTTACGACTCCATAAACGTTACAAAAGTTCATATGGGGGTATAATTAATGCATCTATGATAGCTCGCGGAGCTTAACATGGACATTGAGAAATAACGAACAGACGGTAGAGATAAGAAAGCAGAAGAGATTATTTTCTTCCAAATGTTTTCTTACAAAAAGTATCTAAAGTGATTTTCAATCCAAATATCACATGACTAATCACTCAGCAATGGACATTTTTGCAACTTAAGGATTACAAAACTCATTTTGTTTTATGAAGATTAAAAGAAAAACAATTAGAAACATGTTTTTATCTTCTTTGAGAAGAATCATATTTGCTAATAAGTTTCGGAGACATTTAAATGAGGCTTTTCCCATTGACTGAGGCAAATGACAGTCGTGTGTGGCCTAGATACAGTACGGACAAACAGGCCAACAGTACTACCTAATGAGAGCAGAATTATCTTAAGAAAAAAAGCTGGAGGAGAAAAGTATGCGGAGTGAGAGGGAAAGGAGATGAGAGTGGGTGGAAAAGAGTTGAATATAGATGAACGTACATATACACACACTCACAAACAGCATCCGTCTCGTGTGCGTTAAGTTTTTTTTAAGTTTTCTGCTGCCATCGAGGCTAGATAAACGATATGTTACGAAAGGAAGATGAGAAGAAAAGGAGAGAAAGAGGTATGTGTGAGAAAAGAAAGATATCTATAGAGGGAGAGAAATAAGAGATAAAGAATGATTTTCGGGGTTAAGACATAAAGCCGAACTGGAAAGGATGGGAAGCAATAAGGGGATACGGTTGTCACATGGGGGCGGGCCTAAAGCAAATTGGAGGCCGAGCTGCGAAAGCCATGAACGAGTTCCGGATGAGGACATACGACATATTCAGTAGTATACTGTACTTTTATGTGAAAATATCGTGTGAAGCTTATGCTAGAGAATGTTTTTTTCCAAACTTAAGTTTGAACGTAAATGAACTTTATAGTTTGAAATCGCTGAAGTCAAAGGAGGATGGATATGCTGAACTCTCACGAGGTTCCCAGAATAAGTGTTAAGAAGCGAAAATGATGAAATAAGGTAACCACCTGAACCCTTAGGCACATGACTCGTTTAAAAAGAGAAAAGAGAATGAGGATTGTACTTCGCAATCAGTTATTCCCTATAGCTCTTCGTCCTCCTCAAGTTTGAAGCAAAATTGTCGTCTGTTTGTCTGATACGCTCCATGATTAGAGTGCTCTTTACACTGAAGGCATCTCTGTTTTTGCGTTCAGGAAAGGATGACGAAAGAAAGGAGAGGAAAGAGAATTGAAGTAAGAGAGGAGATGAAGAATGACGATTGAAAAATCGTAGAAAATGTGTCTGTAGGCGTCAATGGCATTATACAGTTTGTGATGGTTTCTAAATCGCGACAAAACTAAAAAAGCAAGAAAGTAGAAGATATATGATATGAAGCTGAAGTTAAAGATAGACTAAGATATAAGGTAAGAAGAAGACAAAGATTAGCAGATATCGAATGATCAACTGGAGGACAAAATGAGTTGAAACTAAAAGCAAATGTCCAAACTTCAACATCTGACGATAACAAACTGAGTCAATGATGATGACGGGACTTATGAGTGTAATGAACTCCCACAGAATATATTCCAAATATGATTAACATTATGGAAATGATCCAAAAACCAATATCTGATAATAAAGTTTCGAGAATGTTGTTGATGACATTCATTTGGAAAAATCAATGAAAGAGGTTAAGAAAGAGATGTGATAGAAAAATAAAAAATAATTTCAAGTATTGCAAGAGGGTTACAGCAATAACATCAACGATCTTTTGAAGCTAAATAGATTATATCTTATTGAGAGGAGACTGAAAAAGGAATGATAGGAGAGATTTTGAAGCTGATCACTCTTCCAGCTGCTTTTCATATTAAACTATCGGCATAAGTCTTTTTAGGAAAGTTAGGGCGGAGAAGCAAAATGAAGGAATCTGTTGTCTATAATGACCTGGTCATATAGGGCCTTCGCCTTCTTTACACCTTTGAAGCGACACCGAATAAAAGGATAGACGACGATAGTTGAGAGGACGTCTGTTGGAACAACTGTTAGGAGCTGCTGCTGATGAACGAAGTTATAGCAACGGTGTCTGTTCCTCCTTAACATAATATCAATGGTCTTAAAAGGCTATGCGACTTAATACTTCTTCGAAAATAATATTACAGAACAGATCACTATGTATCTCTCCTGATTAGGGCAATCTTACACTTGAAGAAAAACCGACCGCATCATCTAGTGCGCAAAGACAAAGTTGGGTAGAAGTTTCTATTTCAAACTAAAACAGCGCAGAGATCGGTTGTGTTCGCTGGTATTGAACTGATCGTATTTTGATTTCAAGTATACACATAACTGTTCGCATATGATTGCTCCGAGTTAAGAGTAAAGAGTGTATGGCAGTTTCTTTCGAGAGTAGTACAATCACTATTGTTTTTTTTTAGAATAATTTAAACAAAAAAGTTTGAAGTAGAAGGAAAGATAAAGATGAGAGCCATAGAATGACGGGGCAAATAAGACCATGGCAAATCTCAACTGACAGTCACCCCCGCTAGGAAAGAATGTAAGGATAAATGAGCGAAAATTGGAAGGGAGAGAAGAAAAAGGGAGAATACGGGAGGAGGAGTCATTGGGGTTGATCGCATATCCCTCAGGCTTTAGCAGAATATGAGGTTATGAATATTTTTCTTGTTTCGTGAACAGAAGTACTTAATGGGGAGAAATCCAAACAGATGAGTTTGTCGAAAGTCGCGGGCTTGTTAGCAATGGCACATCACGAGTTGAATGAAAGATTACCAATCTCATGTTTAAATATACTCACTTAATTAAAAAGGGACTCTGATGAAAAAAAGGGAGACAGTACAACTATCGTTCACTGGGTGAAGACAGATGTGGAAATGCCTTTTGGGGAAAGATTGAATAACATCCACAAGTGTTTTGAGGCGGAGCATTTCAAGAAAAAATACAGTCTTCTAGATGTCCAAATGACGTCGATGAAGATCGCCAGCACCGACAGTTCCTTATTCATGAAAATTAGGAAGGAGCTTGTGAACCAGGGAGAGATTAAATGGAAGATGGAAAAGAAAACGAAGAACAGCTCAAGAGCTTCCAAACTTAGAGAGAAAGACAAAAGAATGAAAGGCGAAAGAGAAGAGACGCTGACGAATTTTCCAAGAGAAACCTGCAACTGTCTCTATTTAGACAAACAAAAGTCAGGCTGCTTCTACGGATAGTTCAGAAGCTGGCCGATTCCGGAAAATGACAAAAAGAAAGCTGAATCTTTCTCTCTCAGACTGCTTCTTCCGTTTCTCTCCCATATTTTTCGGCTCTTACATCTCTCGACTGTATGTTTTCTGAAAACTTAGACTGTTCTCTCTCTCAGGCTCAGCTTCAACGGCGATCCTCAAGCTTGTCGATCGGCTTCAATTTCGTCATTTCTGGTGTGGACACATAGTCGATAGAAGGCAGATAAACACGAGAATCAGACACCGTCTTCTTTGGAAAGAATTTTTTCGTAATTCCGGGTTTCTTTGAAACCAAAAGAACGATAGGGATAGAGCAAATTAGGCAACCGGCACAGAACAATTCCGTATTCTCTTTCCGGAAATATTTTTCTCTTCCACTTATGTTATTTGCTCCCTTAAGCAGGAGCAATATCTTATGAAGGGTTAGGAAGAAAACTAAATATGACAATCACAGCTACCGTATTCGACAAATGAAAAACACCAAAGGAATTGCCAAAATTTCTAAACCATGACTATGTTTGGACAAAAAGCACTTTGAACAGAAGTTCAAAATATAAAACCTCCAGATAAGCCATCTTGCTTGTAAATATTACAATTCATATTCGGTAATCGTATGAAATGGAATGAACATGAGCGTGGGAAGAAACAATATGATGGTACCTAGAAAATCGTGAGATTGGATGTGTCGTCTCTCTTAAAAGCATCCGAATCACTTGTCATCTTATTGATGATTCACATGAAAGACAGTTATTCCTTTTACTTCTTCAAACAATTGGGCGATCAAGTTGGCAAGGAGCTGGCTTTTCCGGATATGAAGCCGGAAAAGAAAGAACAGAAACTTTCTCATCCAAATATATTCGGAGGCCAATATTACGGAGGGAGAATATGAAAAAGAGCTTCTGTTGGGATATTGACCTTCTACAATCTTGGCAATCAAGTAAAATTATGAGATTGTGAAACATGCAGGTGAATGTCCTTCCTTATACCAAAATCTGGTGAGAAGGAGGATGGATCACTACTCACAGCTGGTTTTGAGAGAGAGGGAAATAGAAGAAGGTCGCGAACTTCACGGTTTCTTTACGAGACAGATCCCGGAGTTTATTGTCTCTTTTTCAGACTAATAATGACTGGCAATAATCATGTACGATTTCTCATGAAAATCCTTTTTTCATCAAATTTTTGATGACATTTGGTGGTTTTGGTAGAAAAGAAAATACAAATGTATGTCTGTTAAAGACACGGTTGACAAAACGAAAAAACTGCTCTAATTCACTTTATGAATTTCCTTAAGTAGGACAATGACTAGTTGAAGCCTTATACAAAGGAAGTAGATGAAGATAGTAATGGTACTACAGGGAGAGAGCTAGAGGAAGGCGGAAAAATGATACAGAAGAACAAAGTACAAGTTACTCAATAAGGGCTCTTATAGAAACGATAATCTCTAGCGTTTTTACATTCTGAGATGACGACGGCCTTTTAACAGATTATTAAAACAGTTGAAGATGAGTTTAAGGATAAAGACAAATGGATGTTAAGATGTGCTTCTCCTGTGTCAAAAGATCCAAATGAAGGATCAGAGGCTCACTTTCCCAACATCATTTTAAATCTCTCATCTGACAGCCGTATTAGTAGCTTTACAACGCGATTTCCATTTTTGTTACAACGCATTTTGCTATTTGGGATGTTAAGAGAGGAGATTTAATGCCAAAGTTCACATATGAAAAAGATAGAAGGAGATGAACGAGGGAGGTATAAGAGAGAAAAGCTTCGCCCGCAAAAGAGAAGACTGAATACAATAAAATATATTTCGCTTTCTCTTTACATTATATCCAGCTGCCGATTTATCTGTTACGGCTCCTTCTACCTCATATTCTCCTTCTTCTTCTCCTCAAAGTGAAAAGTTCAAAATCTACATCCATTGTCTCAACTTTAAACATTTAGCATCCAAAAGACAAAAAAATCCATTTTAGGCTGATGATGTCTTTATCTGTTGAAAGAATCTTTCTATTACCAAACTATATCTCAAAACATTGTGTAATTGTTGAACAACAATATTAGAAACGTTAATATGATCGGCAGAGTTGAAAAAGGTTCGCAATGACTGTTAGTAAGATATCTGTGTTGTTAATTGCTGACTGAGAGTACTCATCTCTGTACTTGGAGACTAGACTCGTAAAAGCATTTTCAAAACAGAGCAGAAAGAAGTAGAGATAAAGAAAAAGAAAAAGTACCGGATTCACATTTCTCTTCTTTCACCTTTCTATTCACAAGATTCTATGCAAATTGCTATAAAACCAGACCTCATCGTGGAACTTCTAGCTCGAAATCATAAAGCAATGGATGAGGATAAATGAAAACAAATAAAAGTTTCTTAAGAAAGCGATCCAATTGGTGGGGGTAAGAAAAGGAAATTGTTTTCAATAGGGAATACCGTTGCTCTAATTTATAGTTGCCAATAAAACATCTGGAGAAATGTGCCTGCCAGAGGATTTGTACATAAGAAACTTATGGATGAAGGAGAGAGATAAGTGAGAAGGTTCTTCTCTTACAAGGATATTCAAAAAGTTCATGCAAGAAAAAATCAGACTAGTGACTATGGAATCGCAAATCGAAGCTGAACTTTGTGGGCTGCAATGGACAGTCTCTTCAGCAGCTTCTGGTGCTCACAAGGACATGCAAATTGCATAACGGGGAATTGGCTCGTGAAGAATAAAGAGACAGTGTTCAGACTAAAGAGGTGGTAGATGAGAAGAACAAAGAAGGGCAATGAAGAGAAGATGAGAGAGAGAAATTCGCTTACCTGGTTAGAACGTCTTCATTCTATGGAGCTCTCATCAAATATTGCATTAGCTTCTCCACAGCGTTATGAGTAGGCGCGCGACTGTCTGATGAAGCTGAACGGTACAACGATAGTAAGAAATGAGATGTATGCATATGAACTCCCTTATTCATCACCGTCTTTCTTTATTCCCTCTCTCATCTCTCATTGAGATCAATGTTCACCAACATCTTCTTCTTCTTCTTCATCTTTTAGCAGTACAGCTCACGATTCCATGTTTGATTATGCTTCTGCGGAGCTTCTATGACCGAATATGCATATTTTTATTAAAGACAGTTGTCGTTCAGAAGAAATTGATGACGTCAAAGCCGCATATGGTTTCAGGTCTCTTCAACTCTATTTGGAAATTACGCAAATGCATCTCTTGTAAAAGGTATTGTACAGCAGCTGAACCTTTTGCGAAAAAACGGGTGCTCTTTCTAAACTATGCAAATGAAAAAGGCTTGAAATCTGTTAGTTCACTTTTCAAATAAATTTGCTGAGCATGGTTGGATTCAGATGGAAGTTTCCAAATTAACAAATCTGATCACTCCTTCAGATATATCGAACCGTTTCCCACAAGAACCAGATGAATTCTCCCTGTCAATCATAGGTGTTAATCTCTTAAAATTTACACGGGCAACCATCTGGTTCATGTTGTCAAAAAAGTAACAACCATTAGAGAAGAAACCAATTTGAATGGTCTCAATATGATTCCCAAGTTGGTTGACCTTCAATACCGCCTTGTATTACAGACTAGAAAAAATCAGAAAAAAAGTTTACTTTAAAAGTTAAATGGCATAAATCTTTGGCATTTTATTATTAATGGAACTCTGGAATCACGTCTTCGGCATCATCATCATCCACCGGTTGGCATCTGAAACAATAAGAGAAAAGAGAGTCAAACGATCAACAGAAAATATTGAACTCACAGAGCACGATGTTTCATCAATCTACAAAAAAAAATATTAAGACATGCTCAAGAAAAATCTCATACACTTCAGTTTGGGATCGGATGCTCTCGGCAGCGTTGTCTAGCCATTTAGGGATTGGCTGACCATGCTCCACGAAAAACTGAACGACATATAAAAACTATATGAAAGAACTTACGCGATGTAAGCTCAAAGCCATTTTAAAGTCTCTGTTTTCGTCGAAAAGGATAGTCGATTTGCCACCATGACCTGCTCTACCAGTTCTTCCGATTCTTCAAAGGAGTAAAATATTTTGGAACGCTGAGATACTTTACCTGTGTTCATATATAGAAAAATCTTCATCCATATCGAAAATAATGACATGGAAAATGTTCTGAATATCTAATCCTCTGGCTATTTTATTCGTTGCTACAACAGCTTGCACCTTGCCCTCTCTAGCTCTTGAATGCACAGCACTCGAATAAGTCAAATCAAAATCACTGGAAAATAATGTAAGAGTAAGCTGACATGTTCCTCCATTACCTATTATAGGGCGCAACATTGTAGCCTCGTGAGCTGAGATAAGTTGACAAATAATTGCATAACCGTCTAGTGCTACAGAAAACAATAGTGACACCTTTAAAAGGACCTAAAAAGAAGTTTTGTAAAAACTAACTGAAAAGCGGACCTTGTTGTGAAACATTCTGTTCAATGAGATCCTCATTCAATAACGATTCAAGCCAGCGAATCTTTCTTTGAAAGGCGCAACAGCTAATCATGACATCTGGCGTTTCTAGGACCAGAGTATTAGGCACTGCTATCTAGAAAAGGAAAAAGCTTCGTGAAGATTACGAAAACGTCCTTACGGAAATAACCCGTTGGGTGATGAAACCTCGTATCTTCGGAGCAATGAGACAGTTAACCTTGGTGACGTCACTGAAACGAGGATTCTCATTTAGTGTAGGTCTTCATAAAATTACTTGAAGAGAATGTTCATAACATTAGTAAATACCAAATCCTGTTCCATAGTTTCATAAGTCGCTGAGAACATGGCGACTTGCAGACTCGCCTGAACAGAGAATGATATAGATGAATCAGTTAGTTCAACAGAACTTGTGTTTCTTCTGGAATATGATTTTCATAAACTTCAATAATTTCTCTTCCAAAAGCCTGACTGTCCATCATCTTATCGGCTTCGTCAAGAACTAACAGCTTCAGTTTTTTCAAGTTAAGCTGAAGGAGAATTCATATGATCAACAAAATCAGAATGTCACCTTCTTCTCATCTAACTCTCTTTTGATAGATCCCATTGTGCCTACAACTATATCACCAGTTGTTTTGAACTGGCCATAAGCTCTGAGATAAATTTACGACTTATATATCAGAGAGATCAAAACTTAGAATCAGCTCCAGAAGTCAAAAGAGAAACACGGCAACCAGTTGTTGTCTCTATACATATCGTTCAAAATTGTGTTAGAAGATTGCTTTACCTCTCGTTTTGTAAGTAAAGCCAGCAAATTGAGAGCAGTGCAGGAAAGTTTGTAAAGCCAAACTCCCCGTGTTCTCCAAGATTAATACCAATGGGGTCTCATTACTGAACAAACACCTGGTAATAATCGCGGCAATAAGTCAAAGGAACCTTTCTACTTTCTTTGAGTTCAAAACCAACTGTATGGCTGGCAAAATGAACGCTGCCGTTTTGCCAGAACCCGTCTGAGCATGTACGAGTAAATGATCTGTATTGAAATAATAAAGTATAAAAACATTAAGACTTTCTAACTGTTATCATTCATCAATACAGGTAACGAGTATCGTTGGAGTGGAGAGAGCTCATCAAAGAGTGTTTTAGCGTTTTCAATGACTTTTGGATGTAGGTTGGAATCAGAAAACCCTCTGAAAACATAGATAGTCACTAAACGTTGAGCAACCTTACTGAATTGGTGTTATTCCTTTTTCGCAGGCAGGACCACAATACTTCATGTGTTCTAACTGTATTGACCAATGAGACGCCAAGTTTTCACCAGCTTCATGTTTAATCTCTTTGGTATTAACTGTTAGATCAGCTGAAACGAAGTTTCCAGAAGAGAGCATGAATGACCCGTACCCTTTCTACTCCGGCGCCGTTCCCTGTCTTCTTTCCTGCTCTCAGGTCTGTATATATTGGTGGAATACATCTATAGAATTTCCTCATTCGATATACACATACATACAAATAACTGGTATCATGAGATGTAGAAACTATGATAACTTGAAAAATAAAAAGTATTGTGAAACTTTATTTCGGTAATGTTGGTGATCCTGTTGCATGAAGACGGCTCCAACTTGTTGGAAAAGCATTTCGATCTCTGTCCACATTTTTGAAATTTTTCACCCACTGGTATAAATCGTATAACTCCTGACTGATTGGCTCGTGGCATTGCATTATGAACTGAATTTCATAATAATGAGAGATACGTTCATTATTTGGAGGATTACCTTACAAACTACTCCAGTATAATGCATATCAATCAAGGGATTGAAAAATATGTACAAGTGTCCCTTTACATTTCTCGCTAAATACCTAATTTTGCAAAAAGTCAGTAATGATTTAACTCTTGGGACTTCAAAACAAACTATCTGTAATAAAAAAAAAATTTTACGGCTACAAGCAGACCGATACATTAGATATATATCCCGACTCAGGAACTCTGTCGAGGACATCATACTCAGCGATTAGAACATTGTGCTTATCTCGAAACTTTCCAGTAATATCTTCTAATCCTATTTTATCGGTCAAACTGTAAGCGCATCATGTAATGAAGAAGTGCGATTGCAATACCTGGTCAAAGCGAGAGGTGGGAATTTTAAAAACAGGCTTAAATATCCATATAAATAATGAACCAACGTATTGTTGGGAACAAGTATTAGCCATCGACTATCTTTACATTCATACTCCATGGCTTCTGACGACTTCAATTGTTTTTCTAAAACTCGTATCTTCTTGAAAATCAACCATGAGCTTCGCTTCAATCGAAATATGAGAAAAGTATAAGGGGTAAGGAAACTAGTACCTCATAAAAACTAACAACGTGGATTTTGATAGGGACGACTCTCGTAGGTCGGAAATATTTGATCACATTATGATTCTTATTGAGAAAACCTTCTAAAACGGGCTGTACCTTAGTTATTTTATCATATATCAGGTAAGTGTTTGCTGGCTGGAAAACATCTATGAGCTTACAATTGCAATCGGTAAATTACCACACCACAGTGAAGAGAGAAATATGCATGTAACCTCATGAGATCCTTCGTATAATCAGGGATCAGAGCTTTGTTGCACTCTTCTATCACTAAATAATCGATTACACTAGCATCCACCTGAACTATTAACATATGAGGAAACTGGTGAGACGTTCACTGACATTATTAATCTTCAAGAACTTGATGATTTGTTCTAGTTTTCCGGTATAAATATCTCCTCCAGTTAATTCCAAATCATTCTCATTTCCGAACAACATGTTGACTGATTTGACACATAGACCTAATACAATAGTGAATTGAAAAAATGTATCAGCCTACTTCTACTAAGTTTTTCGTATAGAGCTGCGATATGTCTAGCTCTCTGTTCGGTGAAAGTGACGATAAGCATAGAAGGTCCTTCCCAGTGTTTCTGAAAAGCATGAAGGTCTCATCTAGATCCAGTAGCTCACTGTTGGACGCCCTTCTCTAGCTTGTGCGACTTTTTCAATCAAAGGAATTAGATATCCAGCTTTCCTTCCTGATTTCATTTCAGAATATAAAACAAATGGCCGGTCTTAAAGTAAGCATTTATAATTTTTTGATAAGGCGATGCAACCTAAGCTGCAGAACACAAACATGTGTTTCTGTAAGACAGTCAAAGCTTTGATCTTCACATCCTGCATATTTTTTTGCATTTCTTCGGATAAAAACTCAGGGTAAAGGGAATCAAAAAGCTTGACGATATCGACATTCTTCAGCCCCGAAGCCTCTGAGAGGGTCAGTTCAAACTTCTCTTGAAAAAGTAAAGTCACATCAGCAGCAGCGATTTCATTTGAAAAATCTTAAACGATTAGTTGAGGAGAATTTCGTCTTGGTAGCTAACTTTCTAATGCGGAATTATCGTTCAGCGGTAGTATTCGATCTAACTGAAGTTATAAAATAATGATTTTATTACACTGAACGCTTACGTCCTTGTAGAATGGCGAGCTCAAAGCACCGAAATTTTCATCTGGAGTTTTTGAAAAATCATAAGCTCCTTAAAAAAAGACATTTCTTCATGTAACATGGATATGAAGGACCTACATCCTGAAGTGTAATCATTTGGGTTTACTAGACGTATATCAAGCCCTCGTAAGAACCTTACGCCCTTAGACTATTGCTTATTGGTTAAAACTATCTGAAACACTCGTCCTAAAATCAAGAGCACAAAACAAAGCTCAACAAGTATTCATAAGAACTCGTAACCACATAGCCACATGCTTCTCTGTAACATTTATTCAAATTTAATTTCCTCCAACCATTTTCGTACCTTACGTTCAAGTTTTCAAAAGTTGATCATTTTCATCCTACGACCTTAACAAATGACATGTCGCATTAAGTATCCCGACACGATTCAAACGCTACCGTAAACCTTTTGCGCTGCTACGACTAGGGCATTTCTACAAATAAATCCCAATTTTTCCTTGTTTTTAAGGAAAATCGCTGCACTATGACATTATTTTATTGTAAATTTGAGAATTGTTTTTTTGATGCTGACATTTCGTCCGACACCGGAAAATTGTCAGTGCGTGATATGAAACCATAGTAGGATATAATATGAAAGTTCTCTTATTTACTTCGTAAATTGGCTGCACTTGCTTCGACGCATAGTGGTCTGTTAGCCTCTATTATTTTTATTCTATTTTTTCTAACGCTGTTTTAGTAATTCACATATAAAATGGGCAGACCCGAATTTTCCCCAAGAGGTGGCGCCGGAGGTTAGTTTCTTTTAATCTTTCGTGTTTTTTATTTTTTTGATATCTAGGCTTCCGTGGAGGCAGAGGTGGTGATCGTGGAGGTTTCCGTGGTGGACGCGGCGGAGGTGATAGAGGAGGCTTCGGTGGAGGTGATAGAGGCCGTGGTGGTTTCAGAGGAGGTCGTGGTGGCGGAGACCGCGGAGGATTCGGTGATCGTGGTGGATTCGGAGGAAGGTTTGGTTTGAATAGTATTGTTAGTTTTTAACTCGCTCTTTAAAGAGGATCCCCAAGAGGTGGACGTGGAAGCCCAAGAGGTGGACGTGGATCTCCAAGAGGTGGCCGCGGAGGTGGCGGAGGAATGAAAGGAGGAAAGAGCGTTTTCGTCGAGCCTCACAGATACGATGGTTTGTTTAGATTTTGATGATCAGAAAATTAGTTCGAATGTTAAGGTGTCTTCATTGCCAAGGGAAAAGAAGATGCTCTTGCCACTAAGAATATGGTTGTTGGAGAATCTGTATACGGAGAGAAGCGTGTTTCTGTCGAGGATTTCAGCGGAACTTCTGTAGAATACCGTATCTGGAATCCCTTCAGATCCAAATTGGCTGCTGGTATGATGGGAGGTTTAGAAAACATCCATATCGCCCCTGGAACCAAGCTTCTTTATCTTGGAGCTGCTTCTGGAACAACTGTATCTCACTGCTCTGATCTCGTAGGACCCGTAAGTTCACCAATGTTATATTTTGTACTTATATCCACTTTTTAGGATGGAATCGTGTACGCTGTTGAATTCTCTCACAGATCCGGAAGAGATCTCCTCAACGTTGCCAAGAAACGCCCTAATATTGTCCCAATTGTTGAAGATGCCCGTCATCCACACAAATACAGAATGCTCGTCGGAATGGTCGATACCATCTTCTCAGATGTTGCTCAACCAGATCAAGCTAGAATCGTTGCCCTCAACGCTCACAATTTCTTGAAGAATGGAGGACACGCTGTTATTTCTATTAAGGCTAACTGTATCGACAGTACCGCCGAACCCACTGCTGTTTTCACCGGTGAAGTTAATAAGCTCAAGGAGGAGAAGTTCAAGCCAAGGGAGCAAGTAACTCTTGAACCTTACGAGCGTGATCACGCTATTGTTGTTGCCGAGTACAGACCTAAGGGCAAGAAGCAATAATTGTTTGTTGTTAATTGTTGTTGTTATTTGACTAATTTTTGTTGAACTTGTTGCTATTGCTGTTGAATTGTTCAATGTTAAACTCCTGTACATACCATTCTATCTCACTGATACAGCTGTTTTTACCAGCTTTATATCTTTGAAAGAAAGTTCTTTCTCTCTAACTCTAGTTCAGGGTACCATGGCTGATAAGCTTAAGTCTGTTCAGACTTACGGACGTAAGAAGACTGCTACCGCTGTAGCTCACTGCAAACAAGGACGTGGCCTCCTCAAGGTCAACGGACGTCCTTTGGAGCATATGGAACCTCAAATCCTCCGTTTGAAGCTTCAAGTAATATTTTATTTTCACTAATTTTCTATCTTTAATATTATAGGAGCCAATCCTCGTTGTAGGAAAGGACCGTTTCCAAGACGTTGACATCAGAGTCAGAGTAAGCGGTGGTGGACATGTCGCCCAAATCTACGCTATCCGCCAAGCTATCGCCAGATCTCTGGTATTTTGATTCATCTGTTCCAAAAGCTTACTCATGTCGTATAGGTTGCTTATTACCACAAGTTCGTTGATGAGCAAAGCAAAAGAGAACTCAAGGAGCAATTCGCTCTCTATGACAAGTCTCTTCTTGTTTCTGATCCTCGTCGTCGCGAGTCCAAGAAGTTCGGTGGACCAGGAGCCCGCGCCCGCTACCAGAAATCTTACCGTTAATTTCTTGTTGTTTTCAATAAATTGTTATATACATTCTGGCAAGTGGCGTTAAAGGAAATCGATGAATGAAAGATTGGAAAGAGCTGGGCTTTGATTTATTGTATTGTGTGCAGTGGAAGTCAATTTGAGTGATAGTTTGGTTTTATTCTGATTGAACAGTTTGTATCGTTGTGTGATGTTATGTCTGTTGGATCCGAAGTATGGAATGAGTATGTACATAGAGGGATATGAAAGTGGAATAAACATTTTTGAACAATTTATAACGATGAAACTAGATTATCCCAATGAAAAAATACTGTCGCCTTCAGATGGTTTCTCCGAAATATCTTCTGCTAACTCGTCAGATTTGCTCTTCTCGAACATCTTCATTATGAAATATACGGCTAATCCGCCTATTATCATGATGACTCCACTGGCAACGACCCAGGTGATGAAGTATGTCAACTGATCTCTGGAAAGTTTGAATTTTTTCTTAGCTCTCTCACAACGAACGATGTTTCCATTAGCTTTTTCTGTTTCGTACTTGGAAAGAGAGTTCTGGAGAATACTGTAAGTAGCAACATAGGCCCATTACTTTTTATCCTGCTTACTTTCAAAGAGGTTTTTTATGAAATTCATTGTTAACAATCTTTCTCAAACTGCACACAAACTCAATCGCCAAAAGGATTTAGTTGATTATCCACAAGAGTGGTCTACTGATCTACTGCAAGTACACCATACAACGTGGTACGTATGCTAATTTCAGCTTGTATTCCACGTAACACGTCGAGGCGCTTTTAGCGTCTCTTAGTGTTTCCCATTCATTAGATCACAGCTCACAGCGATCTACCATCAACCTTAATGGCTGCTCAAGAAAAACCTCATTGCAAGGTAGAAGAACCTACGGATTCAGAGAGAAACGATGATAATGATGAAGTTATCGTCGTTGAGGTAAGATAGGTTAAACTACATTATGTTCTATATATTCTGGGTTAGCTCCGTTCTGATATGATATCGGTCGATTTGACACAACATCGCATTGAAAAAATTGAAGGCTTTGATTTTTTGACCCAGGTTTGGTTTTGTGCAAGAAGTATTGATAATCAAACTCAAGGTCGAGAGTCTCTGTCTCAGATGGAATTTGATAAAGAAAATCGAAAACTTGAACTCTCTAACAACATTGACAGAGCTTGATTTGTATGACAACCAGGTAGAACTTTCTCATAGAACTTACTATATGTTTTAATCTTTAGATAGTGAAAATCGAGAATTTGGATTCTTTGGTCAATCTGGAAACGCTAGACTTATGCTTCAATCGCATAGAAAAATTGGAAAACTTAGAAAACCTTAAGAAGCTCAAAACGTTATATCTCGTTCATAACAAAATTTCTAAGATCGAAGGATTATCTGAGGTAGTTCTAGTTGGATGGCTGCAGTACAGTTTGCCTTAGCTGAAGAATCTGGAATACCTTGAGCTAGGTGACAACCGGATCAAAAGAATTGAAAACTTGGAAGAAAATCAAGAACTTCAGCGACTCTTTCTAGGAGCTAATCAAGTAGGGTTCTTCCATTTGTTAGAAACTGATTGTTCCATAGATCAAAAAAATTGAAAATTTGGGTCATCTAAAGAAATTAGAAGTCATCAGTTTGCCAGCAAATTTCATTGTAAACATTGAAGTTTGTAAAAGCACACGTACTTTCAGACTAACAATAACGCTTTCAGGGCTTAGAAGAGTTAACTTCAGTGAGGGAAGTTTATTTGATGCAGAACGGTATACAAGATATTCGTGGCTTTGATTCGAATCAGAAAATTGAAACAATCGATCTCAGTGATAATCGGATTGAAAAGGTATGCAACAACATATCTAGTAGCATCATTCAGAGATTGATCAGGTGAAGAACATAAAAAACTTGCGACGTCTCAAAGATTTCTGGGTGAGGCAGAATAAGGTTATTCCCATTAGCATTGATTCCAACTCGAGTTCAATTGTTGTAGATTGCTTCATGGTCACTGGTCGACGAACTCTCTGAGTTGCCTGATTTGAATCACGTTTACTTAGAAGGGAATCCAATATCAGCAAAGCCAGATTACAGGTTCGAGTCGTTTTAAAGTAAAATCAAAGCTCTATTTATACATCAAGGGCTCGTGCTATCCGCTTGTTACCTCAAATCAGTCAACTTGATAATGACACCTGTCGAAGTGACATTCCTCAAATCTGAGTTTGTTGAAGTCACCATAGCCTGACAATCAAGGTCATCATCATCTAGGTTCGCCATATTGTATCCATAAACGACGAAATCCATTTAACGTTAAATTAAAACAAAATATCTCAAAGAATGAATTTTTGATAATCCTTCATTGTGTTTTTGAGAGAAACAACTATGAGCGAGAATATAACAAAAAAATAAAAACTGTACATAACAACTCTGAAAATCAAACAGTATGACATCGTAAGTCTAGCTTATCAATCAAGAATTCTAACATGTTTAGCTTTCTTTTGTCCTCCATCTCCTGATAGACCGTGTTCTGAACTATGTTTGTCTTCATAAGAATCGAATGCTCTCCATCAGTAGAGAATATATCATTGAGGCATTCAGCCTGAAAAATCATAGATAATCAGAAAAGAAACTAATATTTCTCTTCAAACTTTTAAAGGTTCAACGTCAAACTTCCAGGAAAAAAGGAAGATGTCTATCTTCTTATCGGTTGAAGAACATTTGACCAGAGAAGTCATGACATTCTGGCAAACGTAAAGAACTTGGATCACTTCAAATTTTGTTGCCCAACACAGTAAAATTCTCCAATTGTAATCTGAGAGAGCAGAATATAGAATGCCTCCGAAGATGATAGTATACCGTCAATTGTTTCAATTGGGTAGTATGTATGATGAAGCAGCTCGCGAAACTCATTAATAGGCACTTCATCCTCTAAATGAATGTGCAATCCGTCCCCACTGTAATAAGGAAAATTAAGAATGAAATTGTAGTTATGAAGCTTAACCGAACCTTTCGTCAATTATCTTTTTGAAGACTACGGAATTCAAAGCTAACATCTAAAGAATCATATTGGAGGTTCGTATGATCAACTCAAACCTGACTGTGGCAATACAGATATTCATCACCTATGTGTATGGTGAGGTCAGCTTCAACAGCATTAAGCGATCTCTTATCTTCCATTTCGAAAATTCTGCTCAAATTGATTGAAAAACAACAGAATCACATACCGAATATCTCTGATTATGATGTCAGAAATAACCACTGTAACTGTTATGTGTCCATCTTGAACAATTTCTGTATTGTTAAGTAAGTCTTCTTTCCATTGTTGATAGAGGCAAGCCCCACTAACTTCATTATATCCTTCGCTATGAATATCAGCCTACGAGAAAAAAAACCTTTTTCAATAAAAGATCTATGGAACAAACATTTTCAATAACTATGGGCTCCTTGCTTCCAATGTTACACGTAACATTAGCCCTTATGCCCCACTTCACATCTGGACGAACAAACTTAGGAAGGGGTGATCCTATTAAAATGAACCGGATCTCGTCCAGAACATCTAATCGAATATGCCTAAACCAGAGAGAGGAAAAAACTATTTTGTTAGCCTACCAGGTAATTTTACTGTCGATATGTTGAAGCGAATCTGTGGTATCATCGAAAGGGTTTTCGAAAGTATGAGAGAACTTGAAGCTCATATCCGCTACTCTTTAGAAAAGTTAAAACGTAACAACTCTCAAACAATTGAAAATTTGTATAATTTCTTATTATCCGAACTTTATAGCCTTTCGAGTCGATCCACTGTCTTACGAAATCAGTTTGAGCAAATGTGTTTCGAAATAACAAAGAGTAATCATGTGGGTTGCTTGGACAGAATGACAATAACAAACGCTTTTTGAACTGACCAAACCGATATGACTCGGAGTTATTGTACTGTAACTACTGTAAGGTAAACACTCTATAACCAAAAACCAAAAATATTCCATTTAATAAATACGTTTTATACCCTAAGCGTTGCAATGAACTTCGTTGTTGAGACTATGAATAAGGATTCTGCTAATATACTCGTCGATCTCCTTCATCATATGTGTCAAATGAACTTGTATGTTGACGGAGTCTCTCACTTCAAAAGAAAATATTCCAAAATCTGATATATGGAGACTTGTCTTTATCCATGAAACTGCGACTGTTAGCATTGTTTTTGAATGGTTCTGATAGCCACGTGTATAACATAATCGGAAGGCACCAAGGATTATTTGTAAGCAACAGCTTTCCGTGAACAACCGCTAAGAATGTTCACCGAAACACGAAATGAAAAGTAACAGGGCATGATTGAGTGAGTGTTTGTCGTTGTTTGCTTCATGCTAAGCATTATTTCTTGAGAGCGGTCGTACGTGTTGAGGAAGAGAATGCGCTATCTGTGCAGCCTTGTTCGACGAGTGTTTTGCTGATTCATCATTCTGATGTTCGTTCTCTCCACACCCAAGGTTTCTCTTCTAAACGTTGTTAACGACTTGTTTATGATGAGAAACAAAGAAACTTGATCAGTCCTGATGCTGAGCTGTTTCTCATAGCTGATGCTCTTTTGTACTCATCTCGAATTAGACGTGTAAACAGAGCTCATGAATTGTTCGTGTTCAACTATTTATACAAACAACTGCTATTTCTACATGCTCAATCAGAGAATGTCATCAAGTCTGATAAGAGAGTCAGTCATCTCAAGAGAACCTCTGTAGGCCAGGAAACTTCGTTGGAAGCACAACGAGGTTTTCAATCAATCAACTCTGAGAATTCCAAGTTCATCGAATAACGAAATGGTTAGGACTCTATTACTATATACAGGCAATGATTCGATTAGGAGCCTTACGGATGAAAACATCACCTGGTTAGTTTAGGCACTAACTTTCCTTCTTTAGAGTAGATTCAGCAAAATCAAAACATCGAAGAAGCAAAACAGTGTGTCATTGCAATGCTCTCCTCTCGACGGCTTCGATTGTACAAGTAGGTTTTGGAAAATAACAGTGGATGTCTTTTATACCAACATCGAACCCGAGGGAATTTCACACCAGAGAGATGTATGCTTGTCATGAATATTTGATTGGATCATAATTGATTTACTTAAGATTACTTTCAGTTCAGAAGGAGAATGGTATCCTCTGATCAAAATAGAATCGTACGAATTACTTGTTCTTGTTTTTTTAATTCCTCTGATTGTATAGCGTTGAGGCCGCAATTATCTTCGATCTTTCCAATATCAGGACTATAGGAATACGGTAAGATGAGGGTCTAATCTCTTACACATTATTTGACAGAAAATTTCCCAAGAGAGACTTTGAAAATCCTGATCCAACGGCAGATCTCACAATAAGTCACAAAAATAAGAACTTCTACTGCCACAGCCAGGTTTAAGAAGCTATCGAGCAAGTACACAACAAATTTTCCCACAGGTGCTGAGTTTGAACTCTAACGTAATCAGCGAGATGATAACGAGGAAGTACGAGCTAAGTTCTCCGGTCTTACTCAGTGTTCATTTCGGGAAACCCCCGTTGAAGATTGACTTGAGTTTTATAATTCCATTGGATGATCTTGTGGAACTACTACATTACATATATTTCCCTATCGATGTTG